AGCCCCGGAGCGGCGCGGCCCGCAACCCCCTTCCCCCGCATCAGCCCCGCGACCGCCCGCGGGACGCCCCTCCCCCCGCCAACCGTCGCCAACCGTCGCCAACGGCCGCCGCGGCCGCTGGGCTGAGGGGGAGGGAGCGGCGCGTGGCAGCGCCCGCGCCTCGCTCGCCCCTATGGAGAGCGGCCGCGGGGCAGCGGGGCGGGCGGCCGCGGCGAAGGGATGGCGCCGGTCGGTGTCCCTTGGTAGCGACCTGGACACAGGGCGGCTGGAGGGGAAGGGAGGACAGCGCCCGCCCCCGCCTCTCTCCCCACAGAGCTCCGGCAAGCCGGGCGCTTCCTCCAGCACCGAGTTTCTCTCACGGCTGTGGCGCTGAGGTGCTCAACGTTGGCATCTCCCAAAGCCACTCACTAACAAGTGTTCACCTAGCGCTGACAAGGGAATTGTTAAGGGAAGAACGAGCTGCTRTCAGCAACGTGCGCCCCGTTTCCGAGCTCCCCACGTGTTTTATTCCCCCACCACCATGGATAGACCATAATTTTTGTTTTCCTGTGTGGCCAGGTCTCGTTTCCCCAAGTATGCCGAACACATTTCCATAACCTTCCCATTTACAGTTTCCTGCTGCCCCCATACCCTCATTCGTGGCCCTGGCTCCCTCATCACAAGCGGCTGTGGAAACTGAAGCATCCTGTGTTATTCTGTATCCYGGAATGGGATTTGTTAATACCGAGTTCACAAATGCCAAAGGGATGACCCAGATTYGCAGGGGAGCAGAAGGGAGAAAGCAGATCACAGTTACTAGCGCAGGGAGAGAAGGACATCTCTGTGCACCGTGTTTAAGTCATTAGTTAATATGAGTCCAGGGGAAACGTTTACCTGCAATGAATGTTTTAGTTTTGGAATGTTTCTGCCGGAATAAAAGTGTTGGGGAAACACGCGGGGGTCTCCCATGCCTTGACAGGATTCCTTCACCCTGCCTGAGACTGGCTCCTTGTTGATGTTATTGTGCCTGTTGGCTTTCACTGCCTGTGCCAGGACGGTAGGAGGAAAGTGTTGCATTTTTCTTTCCTAAATTCCCTTTCAGATATCTCCTTTCCAGAGGCTGAAGGTGAGTCTTGAAGCTAAGAACAAGTATACCTGCTGCCACTTCCATACATGATCCTTGCCTTCCTTTTAGGACATTACTGGACGATGCTGGGGGCAGGTGGGAAGGAGGGCTCAGTCCTGCAATGAATTTTCCATCTCTCAGCTGCTGAGAGTGGATATAACCCCCTTTCCTTATGTACTAGTCATGTCATGACTACTGCTGTGCTACAACAAGGGCATCCCACCACATTCATTACTTGGATGTTTCTTCGCCGTTGGAATCCCCGTTCCCTCATAAATAGAACAAGTCTCTGTTTCCCCAAGCCTGGAGATCAGCACTGAGGTGACTGGGTTCCAGGGAGGGCTTTGGGATTTGCCCAGGCTCACTGCACACTCGGGAGCAGCCACACGCTCCGGGAGATGATGCTGGGAAAACACATCAGTCCGTTAGGACCTGCCTAAGTGACACCRGGAGGACTGTGTGCCACACAAGAAGATCTGGACCACTGGCCTCAAGCYTTGTTGATGGGAGGAGAGGCAAAGAAGAGCCTTTGCCAGTCTGATTCCTATGGCACACGGCAATAACCAGTCTTGGAAAACAGCAAACCAGAATCACCCAGTTCCATCCCGAATCCCTCCAGGCCGGCCGAATGCTTTTTTATTTCCTAACATGCACTTGTTGAGGCAACTCGGGGGAGAGCAGCTTTGTGAGGGATGTCGGTGCAAAGCACATGAGCGCCGTGTGCTAATTGATTACTAACTGTGCCTCGTGGGGCGAGTGAATCCACAGAGAGCATATAATTAAATGCAAGATGGTTTGGGGTCTGTTTTAAACCTTCCTCTGGAATTCTGCTCTTGGAAAAAAAAAAAAAGAAAGGAGGAGGACAGTGATGTTCAATGATAGCAAATGGTTCGTGGGAACGCACTTTCATTTTTATGGTAACCACTACCATCACATTTCAGCAAAGAGCTGTTTCAACTGTTTACAACTTCAGCCTCTTTTTCTTCTTTCTTTCTTTCTTTCTTTGTCCTTCTCTGTATCTCTATATCCTGCCTGACGGTTCTGTGGCACGCAGTAGACTTGGGTGTCTCCGATTTGGGATATATCTGACCCCAGCAGCACCTCCCAGGCCTGACTGAGCCCTTGTCCGGCCTAATTCCACAGTGATGTTTCTGAAGCAGGGGACGAGCATTGGGGCATAGAGGAAACACATGGGAGGCTGCCGGGACGCCATGCGGCTGTTCCGCATCTCTACCTGTTCTCTTGGTAACTCACATGCCCAATCTGTGTGTTAGGGAATAGGGAACCACATTATTCCAAAGGCACAACACACCAAAAAAAAAAGAAMCCCCCCCAAAACCCCCAAAAAGCCTGACAGAAACACTGCCTGGCCTACAAATGCTGCCGTGATTAAAAGACAATCCCCAACATTCACACTGAATGCTGGCCTTGGGATTTGGCCAGTTGAAACAAGGCAAATCCACTGATTTACAGGCAAAAAAGGTTTTACTTGAGTCTTTCTACTTTCTGTCTATAGCCACCTGCTCTCCTATTCACCAATAGGAGCTCCTCCTACTGACCTGGAGAAACTCCCTTAATGTGCCCACAAAATATTGGTTTTAGCGAGGTCTCTGCTGGCAACAAGCTGCTTCTCACACCAGCCATATTCTGAGAGCACTGATGTCACCATGGATTACATATTTAAAACTCCTTTCGTCCCTTTTTGCCATATTTTGCACAGCTTCGGGGTAGGCTGCAACGAGAACTGGTGTTACCGGCGTTAGTGCCACCACCATGCCCTAAATCTCCTCTCCCTGGGTCCCTTCAGAACTAGGCTATTTGGGGCCGCGTTCTTCTCCCAGTGTAAACTGGCAGAGCTTCGCTGGCCTTCTGTAAGCGAAGGTGGACATTTGCTTTTACAGCCTCAGCCGGGGGCTGACTGCTTGGCACTCCTTGAAGAGACGAGCAGCCGGCAGCAGAGCCCCGCGCTGCTGCTGTTTGTCCCAGCTTCTCCCAGCCCTGCCCCTTCTGTGCTTGGAAAGCGTCGCCCGCCGGTTCTGAGCTCTTTCGAGGACAGCCGAGCAAGAGGCAGCTTTCCTTTTAGTGCCAAGAACAAAACTATCCCATCATCAAGATGGGTTCCAGGCTTGGCTTTCCGTCCTGAGTTTATTCACAGTCAATTCTTATCTGATTTGTTCTTGTCCTAACGCTGCTCTTGCGTTTCACTTAGCTTGTGCGTTGTAACCTTGTGCGCTTGCAGGTTTCTTMCTAACTTGCACTAAACCAACACCCYGAGCTTATTGAGTCTCTTGGTGGTAAACAAACCCATTTCCCAACGTCGGGGTGCAGCTCTGAGCCTGCTGTGCCTGGAGATCCTCATTCCTGGATGGAAATCGCACAGGGATTTGGGCCCTGCTGCTGAAGCTCCCCTGCCTTGCGCACGCCTCCTCCCCACCTCTCTTCAGCCCCTTCCAACCCCGCCTCAGCTCTCACACTAATCCCCATCCTCCCACTCCATAGGCGCTTTCCCAAGCAGCAGTTTATCCATCGGGTACCGGGCACGCAGATTCCCCCCTGCATTCCCTTGCCTTACAAAATGAGACAGAACAATCAGGCCTGCTGGCCTTGCTGGCTGTGGACAAATTCGAGCTCGTTTATTCCTGTTGGCCTCTGCTCTGCTGTTTCYTTGTGAGCATGTTCCTTATTCTCAGCTACCCCTCAAGCCAGGGCCCAGGAACGAGCCTGTGGGCACCTCGCCCATCTTCCCACTCTGAAAGGCAACACACGTTGCCTTGGGCCATAAAGCAGGGCGTGCGCTGCGAGATGGATGATACCCAAGTTCATCGCGCCAGGCCTTTCCACACAGSGTAGGAGACGCTCCAGCAGCCACCAGAGTCCCTGCCAGGTAGGGGTGCTTCAGTAAGCCCTGGGACAGATAAGGCAGGACAGCTTCAAAGGCTGCTTTGGGAAGAGAACAGGAATGGAACAGAGCCTACCTGCTTYAAGGCATAGGCAACCGTTCGAGGAATACAAGAACTGTTGCATCGGTTTYGTCAGCTCTTGGAACAAAGTACCTCTCCCTTGCTGCTTTACTTGTTCCTGTTATAAAGGCTTATGGGGCCAGCTCATGTTGGAAAAGGAATAAAACGAAGCCTGACTCCATTGGAGGAATTTAACTACCCTGTTCGAAAAACGCARAACTCATAATCAGTTTAAGTAATGGAAATCTGCTCTGATTTGCTGTGTTGTTTATACTACTGCTGTCAGTATGCACTGACAAATGTACATTCCTCCAGTCGGGGCGCTTTAGGAAGCTTGCAAAAAAATATCCAAAGGAGTCTCACAGACACAATTTTTGTTTTAAAAGTACTCCTCCTCCAACTGCTGCTTTCCTGAGACATACCTGCTGTTCGTGGTCAACTGTTGAGGTTTTTAAAACTTTAAAACTTAAAGTTTTTAACTTAAAAGTTTTAAACTTACCTCCATTTGTGGTGCAGAGAAGCTGCTGCGCTGGTGTCACACTCATGCAGCCTGCTTTGCTATCAGCCAGGCCAAAAACCTTCCTGCACTTTCACCACACAACATAGAATCATAGAATCATAGAATGCCGAAGGTTGGAAGGGACCTCAGAGGTCATCGAGTCCAACCCCCCTGCTCACGCAGGACTTGTAAGTAAATTCAACATGGACTTGTAAGTAAATTCAGAGGATCATAAAGCAATTGGCACCTTGTTTATACACGAGATACCTACCATTTCTTTATGGGCGGCCACGCAGATGTGGTCAGGGTTCCCTCAGCTGTAACGGTCTCTCTGCTAACATTAAATGAAGCTCCTTGGGGCAGGCGCTGCTCTAGCATCTCAATCAATCCTAAGAAAAATGCTACCYGGGAGGAAGCAACAGAAAACTGCGCCCCTGTGACTCAGGCTCTGCCTCTCCCAGCTCTGCTTCTTGAATACACWTTTTAATAAATTAATATTTATTGAAAATAGCGCATTAGTCTTTATTTTGCTYGCGTGCCTCAGTGCAAAATTAAGCTACTTAACATGGAAATTATAATAAGGGAACTGCAAGTACCATCATAAAATTAAAGACAAAACAGATTGCTACCAGGATCAGACTCTTTAATCTGGTGGATATGGAAGGGTGGGGAAGGAAGAGTTTTGTTTGAGGGTCTGATACACAATCTATCTTGTTCCTTTTAACACATATATTTGATATTAAAAGCCGCCGTTCAGCAGTATAACATGCATCTAAAAATTGACAATAGAGGGCATGATCCATTAAATACACTAGCTGTGGAGAGGAATCATTCAGGATGAGAAAGATTAAAACGGAAAGCACCAGCGGCCCTTCTAGGAGGACCTTTTGTGCAGGGAGAGTGTAATGCCATTTGTCAGCGCCCTACTGCGACACGCTCTGAGGACTAGCGCCTGGTCCCTCTCTGGCATGGTGGCTGTAGAAATGCACTTCTTTGGAAAAGCAACCGTCGTAAGCTCGGCAAGGGCAGGGTGCCTTCAGACACCCAGTTTATTGGCCTGGGTGAGGACAACCTTCAGCACCGGCATGAAGGCGGAGGTCTCGCTGAAGTTGCTGGTGCTGACTATGTGCGTGTGGATGTTCAGTCCTTCCGCGTAGTTGCGGGTCTCGATGCTCTTCACCATGTTGTGCAACCCACTAAGGATGGTTGGRGAGAGCTGCGAGGAAGGCAGACAAGGCAGGTCAACAGAAAGAGCTGGCAAGCTCAGGCCCTGCTCGAAACCTCTGGCTCTCACAGTAAGGTGCAGTGCCTGGGTCTTCCCATCTGACTTGCAGTGAAGTCCATAGGCCTCAAAGGTTCTACATCTATAGAAATTTTTTTAGGTCTAGGCTTTGCCACCTACCACTCCAGGACACAACATTATCAGACAGAGGCCCAATCCATGGATGGCTTTTTGGCCACGCTTTGCATTAGCTTAAGGAACACCGTAAAACCAGCACTTACCGTCTGTTCCCTAAGTTTGTCATAAAGAAACTCCAGGCGTTTATTTGCATCATCCAGTTTCCTCTTGGTTTGCTGCAAGAGAAAAATAAAGTGGAATCAGAACAGCATTCTCTATTTCACTGCCCTCAGTGGTAAATGATTTAATTGCAAAATGACTTGAACAGCACAATCCCTTCGCCAACATCCTTTTTCCACCACATCCTTCTCATTCTTGATTTTGCTACGAGATGACACTTCTAGCTACCTACAGCAGAGTAAAACTTGAGGTATATCCCAAAAGTTACCAGGCATTTGCAAAACCCAGTGGCATATCTGATATGGCCAATGTACCTGAATTACACGTTGCAGAAGGAAACTGGCCTCCATTACTAAGGTTAAATTTATTTGTTGGATAAAAGTTACTACTGGAATTAAGTAACCAGCAAGGCTGCTCAGAACTTAAGGTCACCTGTGGCCATGAAAATGAATACATAAAACTCAGTCATTTAGAGCAAATTCTATATTTTCCATCTTCTTGTTCTTACAAACAAAACCAGCAGGTTTTAGGCCAGAACAACCAGAATATAAAAAAAGACAATATTCAAAACTGTCTTGGGTACCACTACAGAAACTAAATCCAAGAGAAGGCCAACAGCATTAAAAATAGCATCAGTACATACGGGTATCGGAACTGCCTCTTCCAGCAGCAGAGACATCAACCCACCCCGGCTTACGTAGCACTACTTCCTCTGGCTACTTGAAAGTTTCCCCAGATTAAATTATGTCAGAGATGGAAAACGAAAAACTTAAGGGGATGCTCCTCCTTGGGTGGGAGGGCAGACTGGTGGCTCCGTGTTGGGCATGAAACCAGGGACGGCCTCAAGGCCACGTGCCAAAAGGGACAGGGCGGGAAGACAGTCCTTGGATCTTTCAGACTGTGTAGAGAAGTCTCTTGGGTGTTACCCACGCTGTCAATGGAAGCAAGGAAGGAAAAGGCAGCCCAGGAGGAACAGATAAGACGCAGCCTTTTGGACTAACTCTCAGTTACGTGACTTGAGGACAACTGTTTCTAAACCCGTGACAGGTCATTTTACGGATGGGTCAACTGAGGAGAAATAAACATGTTTACTGAACAGCAAGAAACCTCCTCAAGCAAAGGAAATTAGATGGGAAAGGCCCAAGTAGTTTCTTGTCCTGACACTCTGCTCCAGCCCCTATGCAGCAGCACCTTTCAGAGTGCAGCTTCTCCCCCGCTTAGGCACAGGGCAATCGAGGGGTGTCTGCCTATGTGCTGAASCGACTGACATCCACAGTGAGTGCAGCACTTCTGTGGGCCGTGTACCTAAGCTAACTGGAGCGCGTGGACAACGAACACGGACACAAGCAGTGCTGGCACGGMAGCAAAGCAGCCGCCGGCGCAGACAACGCCCACAGAGCCGCTTTTGTGTCCGCAGCGTGCCGGGCGCCTGGGAGGARGGAGAGAAACACTTGCACAGGGAAAAAGGGCCCCAGGTCTGTACAGTGCCTGACTTCTGTCCCTCTGCTCTGCAGGGGATTCTTTTCAAAAAGGGGCTTTTGAGCAATCGGACACTACTGAACAGCGTGGAGCCTGTGCCAAAGCCACCCAGGGCCTCCAAGAAGCTTTGGCAAAGGAGTGTGGGGCTGGCTCCATGAATCAATTGGTGAGCTGGCATCCAAAGGGGAAAGGTGGCCCAAGTATGTGCCCACCTCGAGTCAAAGCTACAGAGGCAGCTGAAAGGGCAATGTAAGGAAGGAGCCCTAAGGCAACTGACACCACAGAGGTGGCACCAGCAGCCCCTCGGCCCCCAGGACATCTGTGCTGCAGGGCAGGGTGTTATTTACCACTGGAAAAAAAAAAAGGAGACGCTTGGAAGCGGATGGCTCGGTTCCAAAGGCTACCTGTCATGGGAAATGGAGATCCGTGATCCCATCCAGCTCTAGCTGTCGTGTTACAGCTCAACCCCAGGCAGCTCCAGCCCTCCCTAGGAGAGGGCAGTGAAGAGCTGCACCAGAGGAGACTTTGATGGGCTGATACAGCCAATCCCCCTGTGCTCAGAAGCATCTTCCTCTCCACCTGAAGACTTAAGGGGKCCAGGAATGACCCTCAGTCAACACCCTCAGAGAGCAGGGCTGTCAGCAGGGCTATGCTCAGACTCAAAATGAGCTCAGACACAAAGTGCAAATAAACAGCTTTGCTATCCATTTCCAGACAGAAGTATCCCCCAACAGCAGGGCTTRTGACAGTGAGGTGAGCAGCAGGAGGTTCACCTGAACACAGGCCTATTGCAGGAACGCTGCCAGTACCTACCGGGTCTGAGGCAGACAGCAGGCACCTTTGGATAAGAGCTTCAAACGTGGTCTTCAGGATAAGGTGCTCCTCAGGGATAGGCTTCTTGGYAATCTTCTCTGTGGGCAGTGCCTGGACGTGCTGGAAAACAGAACAGAGGAGGTTTTTCCAGGTCAGTCTGTGACCCCACGTAGTTTTAAACTACGGCTTGGCACAATTCCCCCTCCATATAGGTATGGGGAGGTGGACAARGCCTCAAACAAGTAGAAGAGGTTCTTCTGTATCTGGTCAAGAGGATCCAAGCCCRCAAGGCTTCACTGATGTACAGAACGGAACAGAACCAGGGGCACGGGGGGTGCGTTACCTGGATGGCATTGCCGATGGGGGCTCCGGGGGCCCCCTCTGTGCTGGTTTTGGAGACAGCGGGAGGYACGATGCTTGGCCCCAGCGAGTGGGCAGCAGGCTGGTAGGGGCCCTGCAGCACGGGCTGCCCMGCAGGCAGGTGTGCGGGCTGCAAGCTGGGGGCTCCCATGGGTGCTGCTGGAGCTGGAGGCTGCTGCATCTGAGACTGCGGATCCGCCAGCGGGTTCATGATGGGGGAGGTGATGGGAACCGGGGGCATAAAGTTATCAGGGACCTGAGGGGATAAGAAAACACAAACCCAAGAGTGTTCATCCTGTCACTCCAGCAGCAGCCTAACTCCCAGCAAGGCAYAACTCCTAGCTCCCTAAGACAGGTTGGGTGTTCCCGGTTTGAGTTCAACTGGGCACAGAGCAGAGGGCCCAGGCTTTACAAAATGAAGTGACCAGGACCTGGTGTCTTTCAGTCTTTACACACAATCACTTCAGATGGAGAAAACTGTTTTGTAAAGAGGAGAGATGACTGTGTAAGATGCTGGTGTGTTCAAAGGCATCCTGTGTGTTCACTCACARAGGCATCCAAACAAAAGGAGCAGCYCCCATGGGAACACGCACAGTTCTCTGTGCATGGTAATAAAAAAGATTACACGGCACTGAATCAATGATGCCCAAATTAAAATAGTAGTTTGAACAGCAAGAAAAATACCCCCATTACACCAACAGTTACAAAAGCAACAAATCACCGCAGTAAGTTTATGCATGGTGAATTTTAAGTTCTTAGTTAGGAGGAGAACAGTGGAAAATATCCTGTTTGGCTCGCAGGGCACAGGTGGTCAGGCATTTCCTAATTGCCTCAACCCATCCCCTCACACCGTGGACCTAAGGGAAACATCCAAACATTTCTGATGGGGGTTGTTAAATACTCAACAGAGCCACGGGAGAAACAGCAGGATTCCTCATTCAGAAAGGAACCTACCACTCAATGCTTTGCTGTGGCTGCCACAAACATACAACAGCARCACTGTTTCCAGAAGGATTTTGACCGAGTCCCAGGTCAGTTATTCTCCTCTTCCCAATGGCACCAGGCTCAGGGAGCAGCAGGCAACACTGTTGTGGACATTTTCTAGGCTAAAGCAGCCCAGGGGACGAAAAGGTTCCCTCTGCTCTGGGCCAAACATCCCCAACTACTTTGTCCTGCTGCAGTCTAAAGCCTTTTCACTCAACTACACTGACTCTATGAGGAATATTGTCTTACTCTCRGCACATCTTCTAGGCTCAGACCCTTCATCTGGAGCTTCCAGCTCCAGCCAAGTCAGTAGTCTGCAACAATTTGCACATCCCCGTCATTCTGCTTAGGTATCATCTCCTGCCAACTCATCTGCTTGACTGCAGATTAAAATAGCCCAASGTGTTGTTTTCTTCCCCCAAATCGAAATCGATGTTGCTCCTAATAATAACTTGACTCAAAAGCCACCACATCTCTTTGGAGGCTTAAATATTTGGAAGGAGATGCTGCAAACGGGAGAGGCAGCAAGGCCATTTCGGTTAGGCAAGCACAGCTTTTGTTTGCTGCTAACCCTTCTYGTTTCACCAAATTCCCCAGGACAAGGCCCAGCTGTGAGGAAACCGTGTTTCCTAGAGTACCTTCTTCTTCTTGGCAGCTCTGCTCAGAGCAGGAGGGTCATTCCAGCCGTTCTGAGGCCCTGCAACACAACAGGAGACAAAGCGACCGTCAGTATCTCCAAGGAGGGGAAGGGCCGGGGTTTGCTCGGCACCCTGTGGTCTCACTGGAGGTTTCACACTTGTTGGGGCCCCGAGCTGGCCAGGCTCCCCTGAAGCCCCATCCATCAAATCCACAGTGCTGCATCTCCCTCCTCCACACACAGCACCCTCCTGGCACACGCCAGGTAAAGCTCCCGTCAGCAAGTGGGGAAAAGGAATCCAGCAACCTCTTCTCTTGCTGGRGAAGCGTTTTCAAGAGGTTAAGCCTGTGCAAAGGCAGGTGAGCTGCCTGTCACAGCCAAAACACAGCTCTGCTCAACACACAGCTATGTATATATATATGTATATATACACACACATATCAATATATGTGTATATATACACACACCCCTCCCCATATCCCTGAATCCTGCTGTTTTCTGCACCGTTTTTGCATGATCACCAGCGTTATCATACCATTTTAGCAAGGGAAAGCGCGGGGAGATAAGGAGCGAGCGGCTCCCGCCGGCCGAGCGCTGCTGCRGGGACCGGAGGCGGCCGGAGCTTCTGCATTACCCGGCGCTGTGATCCCAGCAACCCAGAGAACGCAGAAAGAAGAGSCAGAAAAGGCAACAGGAGACCCAACCAGTTGCTCCCTGCTCCTGCCAGCCACCTTGGAGACACAGTGGAGCCAAGGAGCAGGATTCCCAGGTCAAATCCCTCAGCTTTAGGGGGGCTGCGTGTGCCCAGGGCAGAGCAGGGCTGCTGGGGCGGTCGAGCTCTCCGCACCAAGGGGGATTCAGCTGGAACGGGAGGGCCAAAGGAGGCCTGCGCAGAACCGCGTCCAGGCAGCCCGGGGTGGCTTCCTTCTAAGAAGCCTTGGAGCTCTTCCAAGGAAGAGCMATGCTGGGCGTCTCTCTGCAAGACTCACAGCTGCAAAGCTCAGCTTAGCGCGTTAGAACCGGCTCCCACGTGTTTGGGATCACAACGTTTTCAGCTCGGCTTTACGGCGGCCTCGCYGCGCAATCGGGATTTACCGCACAAAGCCCCAGCAAGCCAACAAGCCCAAATCCCTGCTCAATGGACTTTTTTACCACAGTGTTTTTCACTTAGCAAATGATAAATTCACTTTATAGGACAGACGGCAGCATCACTGCAGAACCGGCTCAGCCTGAAATTTCATTTGTTTCCAAGCCTTTTTTAAACAAGCTCCATATCCAGAATATGCTGAAGGGGTAAAAGGAAAAAAAAAACAAATTAAAACCCCTTTCACATCCAATTTCTCATTAACAAAAGGCAGTGCCATCTCCTGACAGTCATTTGCCTCAGGAACGCCACCCTTCCCTATCCACAACATCCCTTCCCAAAATATTTGCAATTTCAGCAGTGCTGGTAATAAAAATATATTACGGAAAGCCTCCTGCACTGTTGCTGTTTTTAATTTCTTAAAATCATTTGCTTAGAGGGAAGGAAAAAAAAGAAAAAAAGGGAAGTCAGCACTCGTTTCTGTGGTTAAAAACTCCAAATATGTTGTTATTGGTTTTAATTAAGGCATTCAAATTGATTTGATTAAACTGTAATTGGCCAACAGCACTGCATTTCATGTTCTCTGCAGAACACATGCATTACTGATGCTTGTTCAATTCATTTCTGGTAGTGGCTGTGATGATTTTCASATTATGCGGTACCTAGTTCCCCCAGCAAAGGAGAGGCCTGGTCTTGAGGCGGCAGGTTTTCTGCAGATAAAAAGGCAAAGAGGGCTAGAAAACAGTTGCTGCTTAAAACCCAAAACCACCTGAATGCATGTTTTCATTAGCACCCGGCCTTCACAGAGAAGCCTCATGCCTGCCAGAGAAGGCAAGCCGCCTGCTCCAAGCAGCACCCAAAGCCAAAAGGCGAAGCACGAGAACACGCTGCCACTTCCAAGAGGAGAAGCGGCAGGATGGGATGAGCACTGGGGAACACTCCACTCCCCAGGGCGGTTTCGATGCATTTGCAGGTCTGGTACCAACRCTGAGCTCGACTCGCGTCTGTGCTATTGCTACGTCAAACGGGATGCAATGCTCTCCGAGGGAAAACCATTCCAAGCAGGTTCAAAGCTCTTCTATGGCTCAAGTGAGGAAGGTTGCTTAGATCAAGTTAAACAGGGGCTTAGTGACTGGTGGAAGCTCCAGGCACTCATTTCTATACCCATTTGCAAAAGCAAAACAAACAGCCACACGAAGGAGATAACAGCAAACCAGTTCTAGATTCACATCTCRAGTTGCACACTACGTTAATAACCAGATGCTTTCCAAGACCTCAAGCTCCCAATTTTTCCTTCTCCCTATTTTAACCCCAGGTCCCACTTGTGAAGCGATCACCACGTCCCCACACGAGACCCTGCAGCCCACAGAAGCGCAGCAGCTCGAAGCCCAGGCGACCCTAACTCTGTGCTCTGTACCAGGACACAGCTTAACATCCCCTCACGGCTATGGATTTGTGCAAGCTCTATAAAACCATATGCAAAGGCATCTTTAAGTGGCCCAGTGCCCCCAAAAGATTGATTGATGGCCAAGCATACACCACAGCATTTAAGAGCGTTTTCTCTTCTTGTTTACATGACCTTTCAAAGGAGTGGTGCAAGATCTGTAGGACACAGCRTGCACCTGGCTCCGTCTAGGTACTGCTCTCAGCCCCAAGGCAACTGTTGTGTTTCAGTGGCCTGAGCCCRTGGATCCCACCTTGGTTTGAGGCCAAGGCTGACACTGGCGTGGGCTGCCCTCTCRTCACATCTGCTTGCAAAATGCCACCACGTGAGGCCAGTCCTCAGTATCTATTGCCCAAACCGGAGTGCCTTGCTGCTCCGAGTGCCAGCTGGGCTGCATTGCTGCGCTCTTAATGCAAGTGTGTTGCCCATGTCACCAATATAGGAGTAAAGTGGGTAAGGAACATCCTTACATTTATCTGAAGGCACAAAAGCAAAGCCATCTGCATCATGATGTGCTGTCCCACTTGTCAGGCTTAGAAAACCTGCCAAAAACTCTTCCTCTACCCTTTTAATAATCCCTCTGATAGAGATGTAAGGTACATGGGTCCTATTCACATGGAGTCAGAAGTCCCAGTCCTCAATAGTGCCTGGCAGCAGAGACCCTGTCCCTCAAACACCGGCTCCTCTTCTCCCTACTCCCAGAKGTGGTCGTCCTTGGCTCTCCAGCTGGCCCACCTGGCTATAAAGCTCAGGTTTACCATGGGGCTGGCCCCTAATTCCTCCCTGGCCTGACATGCTCAAGGCCACTGTTTGCAAACTGGCCCAGAAGCGAAGGCTGCTAAGGAAGATAGAGGTTTGTTATCGTGAGGGTTTGTTACCCTGGACCACAGCAAAGGGTTACAAGAAGTCCCCAGCGCCGCAGCATGCTCTTATAGGCATACCCATGCTTTAGATGAACACCTAGGAAGGAAGCCATGTAAAAGCATTTCTAAATCACTTCTGACCATCTTTAAAGCCTTCACAGCTACAGTAAATCCCWTCCCACTAACAGTTAGGGAAAAAAGTAATGAAAATTAGGTGACTGCACAGGAAACGCTTTTGGAATTAAATACGCAGCAAATCCATGGCACGACCTGCCTCTTGCGAAGCGGTGATGCCCGGAGAAATTCCATTTACAAAATCACTCTGCAAGAGGGGGCAGGATTTTGAGCCACTGCCCATTATCAGCAGGTGATCATCTCGGTAAAACACAGTGCTGTAGCACTGGGTCTTAGGCAAGACAGACAGAGGCTCTGTATCCACAGCAAGACGTGACTTGCAGAGACACAACTGCCCGGGCTGCTGCAGCGACCAAGCCACGTGGCCCGGGGATGTGGAGGAAAGATGACCCCTCTGTGTTTTAGAAATGCTGTGAATTACCCTCAAAGCACAAGCAAACCGATAGTGCAGCATTCACGAGGGGAAACTCGCATGCACGCGCAACCCCAAACGAGCAAGCGCAACCCGCTCCCTTCCCTGCTCGCCCTCCCCCCGGTCAAGCGCAGACCTGTTCTCTGGGATGCAGGAACATCACTGGTTGCAGGCAGAGTACCTGTTGGTCCCGGAGGCAACGCATAGGCCACAGAGGTTGCCGGAGGTCCTGGCCTGCCATGCTGAAAGGAGGCCCCCGAAGGAGGCAGAGGGTAGGAGGAGGCAGGGTTCAAGCCGGGCGGAGAGGGCTGGGGCTGCGCCGGGTACAGTGGGGAGGGCGCGGGTGGTAAGTACGGGGGGACAGGGTTTGGGGCCGCGTTAGGGTAAGAGGCTGAAGCAGGAGGAGCGACAGGCTGCAGAGGCTGATAGACAGCTGGTCCCCCTGCTCCGAAAGAGTACGGCTGGGTGGCCTGATACGCTACAAAGGGGGAGAAAACAAAGAGATTCAGTCAGTAACTTGGTCATCTCTCTCTGCTTCCTTCATCATCTGTCCTTTCACTCCTCCTGTAACTTCCCCCCTCCAACTGGTTATCCAGGTCCCACTCCTACAGCCCCATTGTACTCAGATGACCGTTTAAAACCTCCACTGGAGGAGCAGGGGCATGGGGAAAAAAACTGTCCTGGCCACAAGGACTTGCTTCTCTCCATGGCCTCACTGCCTGCCTGCAGCCACTCCTCAGGGCAGCATTGGAGGGGCTGCTCCTCTGGGCTGTGTTTTTAGCAGCACTGCAATTTTGCCGTGCTGCATCCAGGAGGAGAAATGCCTGCTCCAGATGGGCACCAGGACAAACTCCATACCAGGCAAGTGAGCATCAGCCTCTGGCAGTCAGTGTGATATCACAGCAGGCTCCGAGGCTCAACTTTGCTGCCTCTTCTCCGACCCATCCATGCCCTTGAACCATCTCCTACCTTCTGCCTGTACCTCCAGGCTTGTGCTCTGAACGACTCGTGCACCATCCCTTCCTGGCTGATCTCTACCCCGCCCCGATCCTTCCTTTCCCACTCAGCGCCACTCCCTTCTTCTTCAGAGACCCCCCATGAGAATCGGATAGGTCCAGACACACAAATCAGTTGGATGACCCCTCACCAGCTCCGTACCATCGCTCCAGGATTTGTCTGGAGTTTTGGACCTAAAACAGCTTAAGAAGGGCCTGAAATCTAAAGAGTCTCAAACGGGATGGCCGACTCCTCATCAGCCAAGGCAGTTGCTGTCAGACGGTGCCTGACATCTGGTGCCCATCGAGAAGCCAACCCCCTCGGAAGCAGCAAGGAGAGCTTTCCTGCCCAAGCAGCATGGAGCTGACTGGCTTTCCCTGTAAAGGGAGGCCAAGGAGGCCCCCACCTGTGGAGGAGGGCGAGGGGCACTGCTGTTACTTACTCTGCGGGTACGCGGGTCGGGGCCCCGCTTGCAGGTACATGTTGTAATTGGAAGAGGAAGCTGGCGGAGGGGGCACGGTGGGGTTGACAGCACCTGGCATGATAAACCCTGGAGGAGGTGGGTTGTCTCCCTGCAAAACAAGATTACAGTAAAAAGAGAGGAGAGAAGAGGATTTAGGTGGCGACGGCAACGCAAGGCAGAAGCAGAACTAGACTGAAACGACCATCTCCTAGTTCAAACCCCGTTCCTTTTAATGGCCATCCACACARGGATGAAGGGGTCTGGCAGCCCTGCTACCTTTGCACGTCCAACCTTGTGCCCTGCACGACAGTGGAGCACAGAGGTGTCACGCACGGGGTCAGTAGCAGAGGACCACACAGCTCCCTGCCCAAGGAGCAGGCTCTTGCACAGCGCTATCTGTTACTCAGCAAGTTGCAGACAGCCCTGCCAGCCACAGCTTTCAGCTTAGGGACTTAAACTATGACACTTCTGACTTCAGTGAGAAAAAGGAAAGGAGCAACTAGTCTCCCTGTGCACCCTCGAGTGGGGCAGTAACTGTGGAGCTCAGTTGGCACGAGGCTTTTCAGAGTCTGGGCACAGAGCAAAGCAGAGGCTCACGGGGGGGAATAATGAAGGTTATACCTGTGTGTCAGAGGGACAGCCTGCAGGAGGATGGCTGAGAAGGGCAGTAGGAGTTTTGTTACTCCAGGTAGTGACAGTAGGGGCAATTCTAACCTGAATCGAACAAAGAAATACCAATCATGGAAAACAACACAATGCAAAAGGCTGTCGGGTATCGCGAGGTGCGAGGCAAAGAGGTAAAAACGCAAAAAAAAAAAAAAAAAAAAAAAAAGAAAAAAGGAAAGAATTAACAGAAGTTTGCATGCTGGGACTTCTAACGCAGCCATAAAATCAAACTGCTGTAGGAAAAGTGGATTCAAGACAGACTCGCTGTGCACTGACACTCGGGTGACTTGCAGAGCGGAGGCCAAGCAGAGGGAAGGGGCAGTGATCACAGGCCGCGGARCAAGCGCAGTGTTACACGTGCCAGGGAGCTCTGCCACGACCCTGCCCTTACCGAGCCCCCCGGCACCACATTTCCCTTCATCCTGCACAAGTGCCACCCCCCACAAGTTGCTGGGCAGTGGGCAGCACCCACCATTTCAGCACTATACATCATGTGCTGAATCCAAACATACTGCCTCATGTAGGCACACTTGGAACTCAACTTAAGGTCTATTAAAAAAAGATAAAATCTGAAAAATAGAGTACTCTCACCAGCATCTTTTTAATGATACCCTGCAGGTGCCCACAGCCCCTTGCTGGCTATCAGATGCCTCCTTGGCTAAACCCTATTTGCCTCCCAATGCCCTCTGAGCTTGCAGTACTTTATGGGGTGCAAGGCAAATCCCTGCCGTGCCAGCCGCATCCCGGAGCAAGGGGAAGCTGGGCRAAGCCATGGGCTGCACACCCAGGCACCACCTGCAGCCAAGAGCATGAAGAGGAAGCTGCCTCGTGCACCGTGGCAAAGGCAGAGSCAAAGGAACAGCCCCGAGGCATGGGCTCACCGCAGTGCATCCACYTCTAACACTGCACGGGGTCAGGCTAATGCTGCAGTGAGCAGGCACCGTCAGCATCGGGGTAACTCTCCTCACTGAAGTGATTTAAATGTGTTTTCCTTCCCCTTTGATACTTGATCTTTTCCAACTGAAACTACTGTGCAAAAAATCCACAGCAAAAGGAAACTGAAGTTTCAGAGCATGTTAAGCAAATGCTGCGTTCACTTGGAACAAGCAGATAAGACTCTCYGGCTCTTGACTTCAGGGGCAAGTACCTCACAGGGTCCTCACAGGTCTGCATCACACCTGGGCTTTCGATCAGGTGCAAGGCTTGCTTAAATAACTTGAGGTATTTCTAAAAGGGTAGGAAAAATGGGAAAGGGACATTCCAAGAGCACTGCTGAYGCCATCTAGAGGAAAGCTGTTTCCTCCACAGTCCAAGAGGAAGGAGATTCCACCCTTATGCRGCACCATTTCCAAGTGCAATGCATTGGTTATAAGAAGGAAGGTCAGAGACAGGAAAAAAGAGCTCAGACAACTATTGGTAACGACACGTTTAACATCAGACACGGCGGTGTTAGCCAGATGATGCTCCAAGCACGGGATGGAGGTATTGGTCCTTCTGAAATCTACCTTGTTAACACCCTAGAGGGCAGGTGATGGYTTCCCAGCCCAGGTAACCACAATCATGGATAGAGAGGCAAAGAACCAACTCCACCATCACTTCTCAACTAYGTGCTTTCCTTCCTGCACCTTTTCTTTTCTGGCAAGCAGTGTTTGAAGGGCAGCCCTGACAGACTGTGCCTGTCTCCYCTGTGCAAGGTCCATGTCCACACCACTGTCACTTCTCCTCTCCCACAAAACCCAGCCCAGAGCCCCGGGGCATGAGGCCAGCCGCTCTCCGGGACTCGGCAGGGTTTGGGARCACGCACGCAGCCAGGGCTGCGCGCCAGGCTCCAGGGCCGAACAGCCTCTTACTGTGTGGTCTGACGCTGCGCCGGGCTAGCCGAGGAACAGGGGCATCTGTCCTCCTTGTTTCCCTTTGTGCTTCCTGCAGGCCCGTCAGCTTCCTCGCCAGCCCTGTACTCACGGGCTCTATCCCTCAGCACAACTCTGCCCAGGCCCTCTTCATCCCTTCATCCCTGCTGGCCCAGGCCCCAGGAGGCAGCTTTTACAGGAGGCCAGCAACAGACACCTCAAGTTTGCTACTGCTCCTCGTGAGCAACTTCTGCCCGTCGGAAAACTAAAACATGCTGAGTGAAAAGAGGGGGGAAACTGCTCTCTAGTGAGCCAGGCCATTCAACAAGGGGTTTCGAAGATGATTCCGAAGGAGTTAAGGGAGGCACAAATTAATTCTGCCCACAAGGCTCTCGGTGGCTGTCATACACTCACAGCTCGGATGAACAGAAAGAAAAAGCGATCGTTCTACCCACCATCCCCAGAACACGAGCCCAGGGCCCTACCACTTACCTGTTGGTAATACTGCTGGGCTGGAGCCTGGGGTGCTGCCACGTGTCCGGCCACAGCGCCGGCTCTGCCTTTGGGCACAGGCTGCCTCTCGTGCGGCGCCTTCGGGGCCTCCTGGCCCACGGCGAGCTCCCCTTGGGCTCTGCAAAGCCTGTCCCGCAACAGCTCTATGTTGGGCTGTGAACAGGAGAGCGCAGGAGGGAAGGTGAGCCGGGGGGGCGGCCATCCACGCCGCCAGCAAAGCCCACAATTTGGAGCAAGGGCATTGGTAGCAAGGGGCAAGACAAAGAGCCTGACCCTTGGCACCCTGAAGGGTGTTCCAAGAGCAATTCCGCAGCCTAACTGCGCGGCACAGACCTCTGCTTGAAGCCAGCCTGTGGAGAGAGCCAAGCAGAAGGGGAAAAGGAAACCAAAAGGGTCACCTACGTGGCTGGTGTTTGCAGGGAGGAAGGTGAGGGCTGCGGCTARGCTGCCCTGCGCGGCCAGCAGGCTGGCGTACTGGCTCATCTTCTCAGCCAGGAGGGCTCCCACCGCCGTAGGGTCCACGGCCTGCGTGAGCTGCACGGCTCTGCGCAGAATCACAACCTTCTCTATTAAGTCCTGTGAGAGGAGAATAGGGAGAGAGGATGAGCACAAGGAGGTGAGGCAGACRCGGGCTAAGCGCTGCGTGGGCTGCTCCTCGGGTCTGCACGAGGAGACTTAGCTCTGGTAAAGGAAAGGCTCATCGGAAGTAAAAAGGATCTAATATAAAAAGGAACTTCCTGCAGAGCTGTGGACAGGTTTCTGTCTCTAAGCACTAAGACAGTCTTTCAAATATTCACCAGAAATCCTCCACATCTTGTTTTCCTTCCATGTTCCCCAAAACACAAGCCAATTTGTTGTCAAGTTGTGCTATTTTCAGCTAACATAAAATTCACATGACTCCAGTTGCTTCAACGTACCAAAGATACAGAGCACTGTCAGGCAGTATTACCTTAAGGACTTTCTAAAACTGACCCTTCAAAGGCCCTGAATAGATGGAAGAAACTAAAATGCTATTATAGAAATAAACTATTCAGCAATTGCTTCATCAGACTGTCATCATCCCTCTTCTCCCCAAATACTCCCTCTCTGCAATATACTTCATTACTGGAAATTAACCCCCCTAGATACAATCCCCTAAGACCCTCAGCAGAAACTTGAGGAAGTTTCTCCYGTTATCAGCACCAAGTCAAAGGATACCCGTGTGTTACATTACTCCCAACATCTTTCTGCACCCAAATACCAACCTGCAGCGACAAGGGGCTGTTCCCATCCTGAGCTTTGGTCCAGCAGGCAACGAGCTTCTCCACGTTGCCAGCACAAATGTAACAGAGACAAGCCTGGCTCTGCAGCAGGCTGTCGCCCTCGCTCTCCAGCCTGTTACCCAGGAGATCTAGGCAAAATCCAAAGAAGAAACCGTGAGTCACCCCACGCTTGCTGCGTGTCTTCAACACTTTTTTGCACACTTTCTCCCCTTGTGGTACTTGGCAGGTGTCTTGGGGTGTGTTTACAAAGCACAAGGTGGCTCTGTGCAGGTGCAGGCTGCTTTGGCAATCTGGGGGAATATGGGCAGCTTTCAAACACCCSCTGTGCTGCAGGGTAAACAGACCCCTCCAAAACACTCCCCAAACCCGCTGTGTCTGCAGAGACAGGGTCAGTCCTGCAACTCATTTACAGCAGAAGCCACAGCTTCTTTCTCAAGAGTGCAAACACTCGCATGAGAGAAGAGCTAAAGGTTGCTCTGCAACATTTTCACTAACATCTTAGGAAGCAGCTCTCCAAACTGCCCCCTGCCTCCAAAGGGACTGGGGGCTGCGCATAGCATGGTCAAAACTCAGGCCCATCTGCTTACAAAGGTTGCTCTGTACCCCTACAAAAACAAGGGAAGACAAAATTCGGGAACTGCTGTTGGAACACAGCACCTCAGAGGCTCCTCTCCTTTGCAGCAAGATTCAGGAGCTGTGAGCAAAGGAGCTATAGCAAGGCCTTACAATAATTCACCTGAAGGAAAATAGCAGGAAAAAAAMMCCCAAACAATCCCCCTAACACACAGCTTTGGCAGAAATTAGTGGGCTAAATGGCATCCAGTCTGTCAAGTGGCCTCACCGCAAAGCGCTGCRAACTCCTCCGGCCTGGCGTACGTCAGCACAGCAGCCAAAGCCTCTCTCCAGTTCTGCAGATCACAAAACTGCACAATCTCCTTCCAGTTCTTGGTGACAACTGCAGTGATGAGCTGGAGCAAGAGGAGACAAACCTCGTTAAGATCCTGGCTGCTTGTGCTCCTATTTTGTGAGCAAAGCCCTTGCAACGCCACCTGCCCAGCAAATGCAACCCAACCACAAGGGCATCACCCCATTTCTGAAGGCAGGCGCAGGCAACGCACRCAAAGACATTTACACAATGGCATGGAAACTTGTAACTTGAAAAAAGGGGTGGCAAAGCTCTTCCAGGAGGTTTCTTTCTAGCTGCATATACATACCCTGGTAATTTTGCTCTGCATCTTAGCAAAGTATTTTTCCTGTGTCCTGGAGAGCAGCTCTTGCCCGCCCGCGATGGCCAGGACAATGGCATCGGCCATGCGGTTGTCRTGCAAGCAGAGATCCACCGCGCTTTCAAAGTTACCCGTCAGCAAAGCCTGGGTAATCAAACCATCCACATCTGCAACAGCAAAAAAGGGGGGCATTTTCAAACATACCATTGTTACGGATGCAACAACATACTTATGGGGAGGCTCAAGTTCATCTCCAGTCTCAAACACATAAGGTCAAGGCCAAATCCGATGGGACGCTTTGGACGGTCACTTATCAAGCTGCTGGAACAAGATGCTGCCCTTTCGTACAGGGCACCCTTCTCGATCACCTCAGAGACAAYTATCCTGCATCAGCATCAGATAGAACATTAGGTGCAGACAGGGCTCAGGCGTTTCTCTGTAGAGACGATGCCCTGGGAGCGTCTGCACAAATAGCTGGGTGCTGTTTTCTCAGACTTSCTCTCTCACGGCATCAGATATCACATTAAGCATTTCTGTGGTGGGGCATGAGTGCTGTTTATTTCCTTTCCTTCCCTGAAGGGCCTGTGTTACCAAATGCCTTGAGACTGCTGAGAAATTAATGGAGTTAGGGGCAAATATGGATAATACTTTATGATCTGTACAGAAGTTCTTCCCTCCTGCTTCCCCCACCTATGTATATATTTTTTATATATGTATGTATCTATATCTATAAATATATATTTTTTACCTCCACTAACAGAGATGTTAAATGTTTTCTTTGCAGGCACGGAATCTTCAGGTCCACGTCTATGGTCCTTTAAATCCTAAGGAAAAAGGAAAGCACAGCTGTTGAGATTGGGCAAATATCTGTGGTAAACAAAAACATGCTTAAAAAAATGCATCTTGCAAGGAACACCCACCTTCAAACTGCCATTTCCTTAAGAGATCATTAACTCAGAAGGGAAGAGCATTAACCCTGTCATTTGCTACGGAGCTGTTTCAGCTCAGGATCAYGAGCCTCCCCTGGTGCCTGCACAGAGTCGAGCAAGCAGCACACTCAGAAAGTTCCGGGCTTATCGCAGGACCTCCGACGCACATCAGTGAACCATTTGAAAAACACCATTCAGAGTGACCACTGTGGGTTTTTTTTTTTAAATAGATGCCAACGGTAAAAACAGCGAAATCTTCAGATTTCTTCCCAGCAGGGTCARGTTTAAGCACATCTGAGTTGTGCATACGTGGATCTCCATATATCCCAAGTGGCAGAGCCTGGTACTGACCTGCACAGGTAAACGTGCCTGCACACACAGGCATGACCCCCTCATCCTCCCCAAATCTGAAATTCTCCTTCCCTTCTTGCTCACCAGCACACGGAAGCATCTAGGGATGCTAACTTAGTTTTTCACTGAGCTCCACACAGACTTTGAGCTCATCCTCAAACARCAGGTTCCAGCAACAAGCCTGGTCCAAGGAAGCACAACACAGGCTTCATTCTGGACACACAAGTGCCAAGTACTCCAGACATGCTAAAGCACTTGGCTGGCTTGGCACAGAAGTCCTCAGCCTTGACAGAAGAACCTTCTTTATATGAGCTCCCCACAAAGCAAACAGAGAGCATCACCTGCTGGATTTCTGATTCTTTAACAAAAGTCTTGAAGAAAACACAACAATAGCAAGTAGGGGGGAAGCTTCTCCACCATGAATGTTCACAGCAAGACTCGCTGAGAGGGCACAAACCTCCCTGCCTCCTCCTCCRTAAGGCAGCATGCAAACACATATACTGGTAGCTCCCAAAGAAATGCTTGCTGGTAACACCTTGCTCACATACTGGTTACTAAAACGGTCTCCTTAGCATGTGAAGCACCAGTGTGCAGTTGACAAAYAGTACATTTTGAGCAGGGGAGTAAGAGCGAAGAGTCATGTCTGGCTCAGGTAAAGAGACTATCTGGAGAGTGGTTTTCTGCCAAGATGATGCACCATGTGGTTGGAAGCAGTCAGGAGCACATCATGACTGTCACCTTACATCCTCATCCATCTCCAGCACCAGGGAAACACAATGAAATGCTGGTAAAAGCCAAGGAAATACCCAGGAGATCTGTGTTAGTCCAGAAGGCAGCACACACCTCTCTGAAGAACTGCTCCTCTGCAGCCTGCCCTTCCCCCACCTTGGTCAGGGCAGATCCATCAGATTCTGCGGGTGCCTTGAAAAGAGAAAAGCAGCCGTCAGGCGGAAAAGGAAAAGCCAAGAGAAATAGTTTGCCGTGCAGAGCACCACCACCTTCCTGACAGTGCTCAGAGCTGGCCTGCTGCCCAAAGCAAAGCATCCCAAAACCATGTGGGATTACAAGAGAGTGGGAAAGACCCTCCATTTCTTTGACCTTATCGTTATGCAGTACCTTATCCTGCTTTCACCTTATTTGCCTGAAAAATTTTAAGAAATATATTCATATGTTYTCCATTAGACAGCCACTGGTGACATCTCAAATGTATATGGTCTCATTTCAATGCAGGCAAAGGGAGCACTGCAGCCCCGCTGGAGAAAGCRGCACACTGGGCACTTGGACCACTAAAACTACAGCAACCATCTGTGCAGCATTTATCAGGTGAACAGAATGGAAAAGCAGCAGACATGAAAGACCTTGAGCCAAAACCTATGACTGACAGCCCTTCACTATGAAACAGGCAAGATAGGAAAGGAAAAATGCACGTTCATTTACACCAAGTCCCTTCATCCTACTGAAGTGGTTCTTGCATGCAGGGTTATTCCTGACTTAGAGTTATCAAGCTGAAAGGAACATTATTCTTCCTCGGCATGTTATTATTGCTTTATAAAACTAGACCAAGTTGCAGACTTCTGCTTACCTCTCCCAAGTCACCATCCGCAAGGCCTTCTTTGTTCAGAGCTGAAGTAATCTGAAACACAGGCAAGGTTTTCAGCTAAGGACCCTTTCATTTTAGAGACAGGCCCTTTTGCTCATCTCTCATACTGCCAAACTGGTCATGTAGCTAATACTTGATTCACAAAAGTGTAAATCAGAGCAACTTCCTTTCCCAGCCTGCTCATGAGCTTAATGCTAAGCCACCTGCATGCCAAACTCCCAAGGAAAGAGTCTTTTCTGGACCTTTGTTTAACTGTTAACTCTGCCTCAAACCTCACCGGATCTTCTAGAAGCCACAGCAATAACAAAGACATGACGGGGAAAAGAGATTATACAGAGAAAAAAAAAAATACTGCGTGCACTGTTGAGGGCACCTCAACTAGTGACAAATGACAGTTCTGTGTGAGAAGATCTACTGTCAGGAAGCTGTGGTTTCAACCAGAGCATGAATATGACGTTGAGGTAGGATTTCCCAAGGAGAAACAAGCTAAATCCCCAGCATTTACTGCTTTGCAGTGTAAAGCAGGTCTTTGGATTCCTTACCGGTCTTCTCAAATCCCAATTTAATGAAGAAATTTTAGATTACAAAAAATACGTCAATACCTGGACCTCCTCAAGCTGCTAATATCTGATTCCTTCTAATACAACAGGGTGTACTTGAACTTTAAATGTAGATGAGGCTGTTAGAGAGGGGGTGAGGGAGGGGAAGGACCTGGCTCCTACTGCAGGAGCTGGATTTTTATTTTGATCATTAATCTATATCAAAAAGAGAAATTCAGGGGTTGCCCCACACATAGCAAGTCCAGAGTTTATCATCTGGGCATGGCTAACTTTCAGACATGTATCTTGCAGTACTAGAAGACACGGAGTCCACCTCCATGTGGAAAGCTTTGCCGGGAAAGAGCCATGCAAAAAGGTGTCCTCACAGCTCAGCTCATCAGCTCCTCACCTACTGAAATTGYAGGTGCTCAATTCAGGTGCTGAAATACAGGCCGCTCAATTCAGCTGCCCCTGGTTTTCCACCTGCACCAGTCCCTCAAAACTGCCACTGCTCCTGCTGCATAAACAGGACAGATTTTCATCCACATTTTCTAGCTTCAATCTGCTTTTGAGAAACAGGGTTTCCCTCGTTGTGTTTGTCTGATTGTGCAAGGAACACAGAGAAGCTGAGGACAGTGTTCACAAAAACCTATTTTCTTCATCATCATAACACATCTGCTCTGGGGTCCATTTGATACACAAACAATAACCTTTTTACACAGTCTTTCAAAATAAAAGGTTAAGTTGATACAGTGGAAATGAGTCAAACTTTCAAATCCACTGACTCYGAACTGAGCTAGCCCAACCTAGGCACAGCAGTGAGAGCAGCAAACCAGCCAAAATGGGCAGCTGATATCCCTGGGCACCAACACGCAGATGGCACCGCACAGTTTGTCTCTGAGCAGAGGAGAGACAGRTAAAATCACCCAACTCCATCTGCAACTTAAGAGCTCTGCAGTTTATGTCTAGCACGTTTCATACTGCACTTTTCATACTGCAGATGCTTCCCAGCTGCTTGAATGGAAACATATTTCAGGTTTTTAGGATAATCTGGGCTTTTGACTACTGCTTCTGAAAACCAGGTTTTGCCATGATATAAAAAACATCAATCCAGCTTTTCCAKAAGGATCCACACCTGAAGGGTACAAAATGCTCCCTGGTAATATAAATTCTGTCTTCCTAAATGCAATCAAATTTCCTTGTTGCCTAAGGCGGCATTCCCACAAAMAGGAATATTTTAGCATTTTAATGAAGTTAATGAAACTACGAGGAATATATAGAAGTTCTTTAACCAGGAAACCAAAAAAGGATTAAAATTGATATTACAATATAGGGATATGACATATAGAAGTTACCCAAATAACTTCTACCAATGGATAGGAAAGGTTTTGTGTGCAACAATGAGATCAACATGGAGACAGATGCAAATATGGGGCTGAAGTCTGTTGATTGCTTTGAAATTCGCAGAGAACATTCATATTGCAAGATTACATAGYTAAAAAACCAAAAAATAGGCAAAGCAAGATGCAACAGCCACAAAAAAATCTTAAGTTGTGTAGGGAGAGGCAGATTTGAGGGAATAAAAGCAAGATTAGGTATACAAATATATAAATAATTAAGTCAGTCATGTTTAAGCAAACAAAGGATCCAGTACGATAGATCTACAAGAGCTATACGAGTTGCAGCACAAATACTATCCACTGGGAAGCACACTGAAAAAAAAAACATGGTATAAAAACATGCACGATCTTCAGTAGCCGGTGGTAATTGCTCTTTTAGTCTCAAATGTAAAGGACCATTTCAACCACATATGGCGCAGCCAGCATTCCAGGGTGCACTGTACAGATGAGTGAATCAGTAAAAGCACTTAACATGCATCTTTCCAGAGTATTTACCTTCTTCCTTAGATCCTCTTTCCTGTATCCCAAGAGCTCCAGGTATTTAGCACGTGAATCTTCTTCAAAATTCACCTGTAAAMAAGGTAAAAGGAGTAGACGGCAGTTGAATTTTCTTTTTCTCTACAGATTTTCACTTACCAAGCACWAACATGTGTTGAGCACTAGTGACTGGAGCCCAAGGGCGTAGGAACAAAGTGCCTATCAGTTTCGTGTGGAAACCTCTAAATACTCGGTTAAATGTGAAGGGCACATCTAAGAGACACCCTCCCTGGGGATTTACAAGTGTTGCCCTCTGCTGTGACCTTCTCATGAACCCTCCAGCAGGCCCTGCTCCAAGGGCCCTCCGGTTCTTAGGGACCACCTCCACCGACAGCGCTTCCAGGCACCACTCCCCAATTCCACACCTGGCCTCCCAGCATCTGTTCTGCTAAAGCATCGTATTGTCCAGAGGGATATGTTTTGGTAGGGGCCTTGGGAGGAGGTGAGGAATCCCTGGACTGCTTGTCATCCTTCAGGATGGTACCTTTAGGAAGGCCCACACGTTCTTCTCAAAGTCAGCCTGGGCCATATCGATTTTCTTCTGGCAGTAGCTCACGAAGCCTTCGGACTGCACAGCCTCCTGCAGCTGCTTGGAGCGGGCCAGGAACTCCTTCTCCGTGACCACCTGGCTCACGTAGACGTGGTAACGTTGCTGCTGCTGCTCGATGCCCGGCTGCTGCTGAGCCTTGGTGCTCTCAAATGTAACCAGCTTGCCTCCAAACTACAAGTGAGACACATGTGCAGCATGTAAAGGGCAGTTTTGCATTCAAGACTAGCAAAATAACTGTATGCCCACATATATATACACATACACATATCCATATATATTCTTTTATGCAGTGCATATATGTGCTTCATTCAATGGATAACTGTTGCTGACATCACGATACTTATGTTCTCCAACTCCCCATATCTCTACGAAGTGAAGGAGCTCGCKTGAAAAAAAGGGGCACATACATTCAACAGGATTTCCAAGTTTTTCCTTAAACTAAGGACTAAGATGCCCAAACTCCAAAGAACCGGGGCTGTGGATCTGTAGAGTGTCTAGCAGGCAGGTTATATTATATTACTGCAACAGATGTCCTAAAAGAGTCCTGTACAATATTAAATACATGGCGAAGCATGGTACAYGCCCTGCTTACAGCAGGATTTATACCAGTTAAAAGTCTCCTCAAATGGGGAGGACACACAGGCTAGGCCACACCACGCCGCTCTGAGTCCCCACTCACCGAGAAGGACGCTCCCACGGGGCGCCGGACCCACTTGGGGGGCTTCTTTAGGGGCAAAACGACACTCTGCGAAGCCGTCTGTTGGGGAAGCTGCAGAGGCGGGAGAGGCTGGCCTGTGCCAAAGGGATCCAGGTTCCCAAATGAAGAGGAAAGCTTGAAGAACAAAGGGGAAGAAATAAATAAATAAAAATAAAACAGAAGTGACACATGTTCTCTGATAAAACGGACAAGCAGCATTGTGTACAGCACATAGGTATAATCCAGGTGGCATGAGAGCCACTAAGGACTTCTAAGATGCYTGCTCTTTTGTCTCCATGCTGAGCCCTTCTCAATACCTGGTCGACCTGCTTCTGCCTCAAGCCGTCCGCGCTGCCCCCCATGATGGAGTAGACGCTGATGCGCCCRTCGAAGGACGCCGCGGAGAGCACAGCGGGGTTCCTGGGACACCACTGGATATCGAAGCACCACTGCGTGTTCGTGGGCAACTCGTAGAGCACCTGGCCAAGGAGAACAAAGATGTCAGCGCAGGGCTGCTAATAAAATGTTGCTACCCATGGGAATGACATGCAGAGGATCTCTACAGCAGGACTAACTCGAGTCTTCTGGATACCAAAAAAATCCAGGTGCCCTTCGGAAGGTATTCCAAAGTCCAGCAAGGCGGGAATGCTTTAACGCAGCTCAAGGATCTGCCACTGTTTCTGTAGCCCACAAAATCCCTCTGCTCTGGCTAAAATTTCTCAAACTTAAAGACGGGAAAAAGACAAAGATGATTCAAGTAATTCAGCTCCATGAACCCCAATTAAAAAAAAAAAGGTGCAAATAGTTAAAGCGGGGCCATTTAAATTCCCTATTGCTATAAGGCTGTAGGGCAGGACTATTAGGAAGGAGTCCTGAATTACTTGAAMACTCTGAAGGCTCCTACTTCAGGTGCAAGAAATCAGGCTAGGTGCCTTATCACTAAAACATTTCTCTCTTGAGAGAGGAGCATGGAGCTGTTCCAACACCTCTTCTTCCTTCACTGTGTGGAAAGCACAGGGAAGCAAGCATGCTATTTTACCCATTGGAAGAATGGGTAAAACAGCATGAGAAAAACAGCGCGCTTTGAAAAACACTGCGTTCCTCGTGCCACTGAAGAGAGATATTTTACAAGTGGTTTGCGTACAATACCTCGCCTGTGTTCGGGTTGGAGCACAGGATTTTAGCATCCTTCCCACAGCTAAGCAGCAGCTCCGGATCTGCCATGCTCCAAGCAATGGCCAAAATGCCCCTGGCACAAGGAAAACAAAGAGATAAACTCATTTAGGAAAAACTAGGTATCAAGTCATCTTTTCTACACCAAAGTCCTTCATTTACCTGCATCATCAACACGTGGCATGTAAATCCATAAGGACTATTTGGTTGAACAGCTGAATTTTATTAGCCTAAGGTTCACGTCAGGAGTACAAATGGCAGCAGTTTTAGGAACAGCTCCCACACAGACCTGTTGCTGTTCTCTCCTTTAAAGTGGGGGSTTGTTTTACAGCATATGGAAACGCTGCACTAATTAAATGGAGGTGGCATAGGAAATTACCCTAACTTTTCCTTTACCCCTGTTTAAGATATTGGGGGTGGAGGGCACAAAAGAGAGTTTCTACCTTGTATGGCTTTCGAGAACACGAAGTGGTGACGAGGCAAATCTCAGGTCCCACATCTGAATCACAGGCAACCTGTCATCCTCCGAAGCCAGAACCATCTGCGTGGCTACGTCAGGGTGCCACGCCAGCCCTGAGCAGTGCATCTGAGGGACAACACARGGTATCTATCAGGCACCAAGGAACACAGGACAACCACACTAAGTGGGAYTAGATGTAGGGAAAAGGCAGCCCTGAGGGACTGCCCCATTTGCTGCTGCATTTCCACGCAGCGTTATGGACTGCATTCAGTTGGAATCAACTCCTTGACTYCACGAAGGAGAAGACTTCCATTTCATTTCCCAGGATGCTCAAATAGATGACACTGAGCAGCCTCGTTCCCAATCTTTCCATGTGACACTATAAACATTCTTTAACGTAAGAAACCACCTGCACAAAGTGTTTTCACATTTTTTCAGCTATATCTACCAGCATCTTAAGAAAACCCATCATTATGAGGCAGCTTACTCACCCGGTTATTGTGGTCACTGACTTTGATGATGGGCTCGTTCTTCCTGAGGTCCCACACGGTAGTGCGGCCGCTAGGACTGGCCGACGCCAGGATGTGCTGGACTTGCCTGTTCCACGCGATGCAGCTGATGTCTTCGAGGGGCTACCACACACAGGACACCCGTCACAGGCTGGCAAGCGGCCACAAAACCCTCTGGTGTTCACACTCTGCTCAAACACACATCTCTACGGAGATCTGCCTCCCTCCACTGTTCCTTCTGCTTTCCTGTGCGCACAAGCTGTGCAGCAGAAAACCTGAAAACCCCACTTGTAAAAGCTGCCTCCACTCTGCACCTCCCTTTTAGAGCCTGATACATTTAGTCATTTAAAACATACAAGTCCTGCRCAAAAATACATCTGGGTACATAAAGATACTTTCGCCTCTCGGTTTCAGTTTATAACTTGCAGAGGAGAGGTTAACTCTGCTTGAAAGACCTCTGTAGTCACTTTTTAACTGCTTAGATTTAATCTTTGTCATAAGAGCAATTCTAATGCCATCTTCCTCACTGTACTGTATTTCCAGTTGTCATTGACTATGTGGATTAAAAAATGACACATTCCATTTAAGTGATTATCAAGCATGGTAACTCCTGCAGAGAGATCTTCAAGAGAGGCAAACTTTCTCCAAAAAACAGACGGGATACTGAAATAACCAAACCCAGAACATTTTAAATTCAAGTTCTTTGAACAAAACTATTTCTCATCCCATTTCCTTGCTAATTATTCTCCCCAATTTATCATGCAGTTACGTACTWATTTTCTAGTAACCACAATTAGCTTGTGTGATTTTATGAACTAAAAAAACATAAACATTTCTAGAAAAAATCCCTCCCATTCCTTTATCTCCTTTATGAGGACAAACCACAGAAATCCTTTCTTCTTTTCCCCCATAAACTTCTTTGAAGAAGTCATAGGCTAAACAGCRGTGCAATTGCATATTCCTTAAAAACCACAGAGGCAACTGCCAAACGAACTGCCTCATTTTCTGACTTCTCACTTGCTGGGTTTAGACTTTCCTGTATTTTTCTGTTCACCATCTTCAGATTCACATTTCACGTGCTGAAACATGCCAAAAAAGACTACAAGAGATTCAATCCATGGATCAGCGGCTAAAAATGTTTTTAAAGGGGGCGTAACCACAAAGACTTGGCTCATGATTACTTGTTGCTTGATGAAATGCAACATCTTGCACAGAACAGGGAGGCACTTAAAGAGTTAYCATTTGGTAGGCTTCAACCAACTGCCAATTTGAGTAATCTGCTTATTTTTCACTGGTTTGCAGTACTTAAGACATGTGATTCTACTACCTGTGTCTTCACCCCTGGTGTCATCGGTGTGGCAAAATTGTTCAAGTCCCAGATATAGATTTCAGACTCATTTGCACCAGAGGCCACCAGATTAGTCTGCAAAACACACAAATAAGGCATTATGAGCATTTTCAATATCAGGCTTTCTAATCTCAACGTCTGATCAGATCCTTAGGACTGTGTCTGTTTTCCAGGTCATTAGTGGCCMCTGCTGTCAACATAAGCCCTGACTTCATAGCAAACTGAAGTCATTCAGAAAGGCCCCCATGAGCGGAGAGCAGCCTTGCTGAAAGCAAGTGTCCACAGACAGAAGGGCTCTTTAGAAAACGAAATCAATTGACTTCTCACAGGCATGAGAAAAAAAACAATCCACTACATCCCGAAGGATGTAAATGCGCTTTAGTAATGGAGAAAAGCTTGTTGCTTTTGAGATCTCTTCTGCCTTTTAAATAGGCCACATCTCAACACTTTCTGCAGTCTTCCCTCCTAGGGAAGGAATTTAGAAGTTGCAATGACAGATCCTCCCCATTCCCYGACAAGACAACCCTAACAACTAAGCACACAAAGCAAGAGAGCACATAAATGCTCCCTGTGACCAGAAAACGACTAGTATAGCCCATGGAAATTAAAAAGGGAGACCAACTAAAAATATCACAGAAAACCACCCATACTCTGTACCTAACTAGAGCAAATTCACTGAAGTGACAAAAGGGAGAAGCAATCAACCTCAAACTCCTTCTCCAGCYTGAGATGCCAGTAACAGCCAAGTTCTCCATACTAGATACATACAAATATACAAGGGCCCAATTTCATCTGTGCTTTTCAGAGGTTGGKAAAGGGACAGAAACATTTAGGGTAACACATTGTTAAGACAGGCCGCTGGCCTACGTGAACAACGGAAAACCAACCTGGAAAATGTTGACGTCGAGCGCTCGCACGGGGCCCGTGTGCTTGTCCTTCTGGGCAATGACAACTTCAGCGTCCCCAGCTATGATTTTGGCCGGGTCGTACAGAATGATGTTCCCATTTTCACCCCCGGCGATGAGGACGCCCGAGACGCTCTCGCCTGAGCTCATGCTGTGCGGCCCCCAGATGAGTTTGTGGTACCTGGGAGACACAAAGAGCCCAGGCTACAACCMTGCAAAGCCACATCAGCTAGGAGACATCACAGATGCTTCCAAGAGCGGCTCTAGCCGTGGCTCTCCTAACTGATTSTAACACTTTCTTGCTTGCTCCTCTACACTAAAAAGAGGACATGTCCAAATCGTTCTCCTTATCAAGAGCAAAGGGCCATGGGAATTGACCAGAAATGTGTTCCCTGGAGCTGCAAAATCAAGGAAAGCCCCCCACTACACATGATTTTGAGAGGATTTTTGTATAACCATAGGAATAAATCAAAAGAAGGGCTGTTAGCCCCGCCAACTCCAGCCTGTAGATAAAACTCTAGTATCGGAGGGCAGCTCCTCATGCAACAGCTAAGTGCAAGTAGAAAAAAATCCTATTCTTGTTTTCTCATCTGTGCTCCTAAACGCAGGGGGGGGGGGAAGCTGTTGCCCTGGATGCTCAGCTCGTGGCCCATTCCAACATAAACCTGTCATTTGCACCGTGGTGTCCTTTCCAGACCAAGTCAGAGGAATTCAATGTGCTTCCAGCTATTTCCAAGCTTTTGTGAATCTGCAAATATCCCTCCATGCTTCACTAAACAAGCTTGTTCCATCAACACAGTAGTACTCCCACGTATTTGATTGTGCAGAAAACAAGTCTTCTATGAAGGACACATCTATCATTTGCTGGGCAATGGGAAAGGAAAACAACGTGGTTTAGAAAGCAGGGAAAATTACTTCAGCATCTGCTATTTATTGCTAATCTCTTACTTAGATAAGAACAACCTATAAATAATTTCTTTAAAACATCTTGGGTACAGCTCCATAAGCTGCATACTATAAACACTGGGACAAAGAGCGTGTGCCATACACGAGTTACTGCAAYTGCCAGGCAGGTCCTTTCTGTGGGTACCAAAACAATTCAAGTTCTGCAGCTGGGGAATTATCCAGGGAAGTCACTGACCCATGGGTTTCCTGGACACCAGTAATATGGCACCAACACAGTYCAACAGGGGCAATGCAAGAACCCCTCCAGAAAAGTACAAAAGGGTGAGGAATTCAAAACTAAAAAGCATGCATTTATTTTCCACTTGCCCTTTACCCCTTCAAAAATAAAGCACGGCCCTACRAAATAGCACAGGACTTTCTGGAGGATGACAATGTGGAAAACTTGTTGCAGAACTGATTTGATGAGAATTGCATCACTTGACCATTTTGACTTGCAAGTCAAAATAAAGGTGGAGGCTCTGCATCCTCACTCTRGGAAAACCCTTTTGACACCTGGGAAACACACATGCTGCTTGGCAAGCCCAAAAACATCTCWGCCATGGCTAAAACAAGCTTGAACCATGACATTTTAAAGGATTACATGGCTCATCCTGCTCTCTGTGAGTCAGTTGGGAACGTTAAGCTCAGCTCTGCCTGCACACCAAGGCATTTAGCACAGGCTAGGGTTGTTTCTCCCAAACCCCACATATCTAAATGCTGATGATCAACTGGCTCTCGCAGCCCCAGGAGGAGCCAGGAATCTCACTGCTACAAAAGCAAAACAAAACAATCAGCTTCCTGCAAAAACTAGTATAACTGTTCCTACTCACATTAGTAGAACATCCCTGAACAGGGTCATAACCTTCCTGCATGCAAGTGTGGCCAAATCCTCATTCAGGTCAAAGTATTTCAAGGCAACACAACCTCTAGGAACCATGCTTGCAAACATATTTATGTGGCCAAGCACACAGTAAGGGTGCAAAAGACCTAAGTGGCAACGTGCAGCTCTGTCTTGGAGATCTGACTCGCTGCCTTCACGASTGCACCGCACTGTCCCCTCTGAAGGGCAACGCCACTCGCGGGCCACCCTTGAGCCCAAAAGCCCCGCTCCTCTCCTCGTGACTGTGCTTGAGACCTGCACGCTGGCCTTTCAGCACACAACCCGTGCGATCCCGCACCTGTGAGAGGAGGAGAAGGTGGCACAGGACTTCATGTCCAGGGAAGGGTCCGCCAAGTCCAGCTCGAATATTTCTAGGGACGCATTGGTGCTGAACGTTGCATCCAGCTGCTGGGCAGAGGTACCTACAAAGAAACACGTGCAGGGATGAGAAGGACGTGCTATAGAAAGGAGCAACTGCAAAAGTAACAGCAGGCAGGGCATAAGAATCCCATCAAAGCACCATCTGCTTTGTTTTATTATTATTTCCATGTAATTCTCCTCCCACTGATTTCCTCCTCCATGGGTTTTTAACCATCACAAAAGGGGAAGCTTTAGGAGAACTTTTGTCCCTAGCTGATTATGTACAAGAATGTCCTTTAACACCAGAGAAAGGAGGGAAGYAGGAGATGAGCAATAAAGGACAGCTAATCAATAGGAACATGAGGATGTTGGAGCCTTATTCTGGAAAAAAAACGGGTGGTGGTGTTGCCTACAGGGCAGCAAGCATGTGCTCTCACAAAAAAAAAAAAAAAGGGCAAATGAAGGAGTAAACCAGTATCACAAGGCCAGAAAAATGCCTCTGAGGTACTACATAGCATTCTCTATTCTAGCCTCAACCATCAGGCAACAAATTAACTACTCTAATTTTCACCTGCGCCAGCCTCACCCCAAGCAGACCAAGGCCCCTGGCCCACRTCCCAGCAACTCACCTGTGGCCAGGTAAATGGGGTGCTGCAGGGCAGGGCTCCATGCCTGCATGGCAGTGCGATCAATCTCCTTCAGCTTCATTTTGCTAAAGAGAAGCAGCACAACAAAAGGAGTCATTCTCACGTGCAATGCAAGAAGAAGGTGCTACGGTAGAGCTGGGTGCTGCATTACAGCCCCTCAGCAGGAGCCACTGCAGAGCCTTTACTGGCCCTGTGCCTCCCACGGCAGCTCCTGCCCCTACACAAACCCAAGGATAATTCCTAGGCCTCAGAAAAGCTGTAATCAGCCACGAAACCCCGCCTGTGAGMGCCACCACAAAGCGCTCTCGGCAAGCTGCAGGAGCGGGCCTCACGGCGGTTCTGCARCGGTCATTTGGCTCTGTTTTGGAGCCCCGGGAACGGAGAGGCCGGAGCGGGGCAGGCCCCGCGGCTGCCGCGCAGGCGCTCCCCGCCGCAGCTCCCGCCGCGCTCCGCGGGGCCCGCGGCACCTTCTTCCACCAGCAAACGCGTGACGAGAGGGGCTCGGGCGCTGCCTCGCCGCACAGCGGGTCCCAGCCACCCGTGCGGAGAACCAAGGGGGGCTCTGGAGGCTCCCCTCGCGCGGGCTCTCCCCGCGGCACCGAGGCCGCGCTCGGGGCAGGCGCAGAGGCTTCCCCAGCGGCAGCTCCGCTCGCCTCCCCGCCGCGGCTGGGGGCCCGGCTCGCGGAGCCCCCCCTTACCCGGGCCGGCGCCGCCGCCGCTCGCCCGCTCCAACGTGGCAGCCCCGGCGCCGCCTCCCGGGCGCCTTCCGGCTCCGCCGCCGCCCGCTGCGCCCCGCCCCTTCCGGCCGGGGAGGGGGGAACCGTTCAACCGTCACCAACCGCCACTAACCGCCGCCCGCGGGCGCTCCGCCCCCCCCCCCCCCACGAGACTCGCCTGGGGGCGGCGGTTGCGGGGGGGTGTACAGGAATTTGGGGGGGTTGGAGGGGAAGGGGGGGCCGCCCGCCCTCAGCAGCTCAATCGCAGTAATCACAGCGCGTCAGGATGTGAACAGCAGCGAGGGGCTCATCAGCGGGCGGGCGGCGGCCCCGCGGGGGCTGCGCGGAGCGGGGCGCCTCCTACGCTCGCCAGTCCCAAAAGGCAWGACGGGGATGGTGGTTTCTACGGACTCCAGCTACCGCAGGCGCCGCCAGCGCGGCTCGCGGGCGCCCGCGTGGCTCCCTCGCGCTCCGGCGCGGCGGGCACGGGAGGCGGCGGGAAAGCGGCGCCCGCGGCCCGCTCCCCGCGCGCGGGTCTCGCCCGTGGCGGCTCCGGCTTCGCGGGCCGCGGCGGCTCAGCCGATCGCTGGGAGCGCGGGCACGCGCT